TTCATAAGTTATTTGATTAAATGAGCTGCTGTAATTGTCATGTAGAAGAGCTGAGAATTCTTCAGAGATTTTCTCATTTAGTTAGTTGGCGAATGCTAATCACGGGGCCGCCGAGCAGCTATTTGAGACCGCCTCCGCGACGCGACCGCGCGTGACCACTTTGCCCCGCCCCATCTTTTGCGGGAAAATGCGTCATGCTATCGTAATTTCGGCATTGTATTTGAAGCTCTTCTCGGATAAAAGCGATAGCTGCGCAATCTTTATTTGCGATTATTAATCGACTTTATCGATTGTTTTTTTTTCAGGAGCAGGCGGTTCGTTTCATGCAATGCGATCGTGCGTCAAATCCACAAGCAGTTGCCCTTTTTATGAATCACCTGATACAGTCGACGATTATTCGCTAAGGATCGACCGCGACGCACTGCGACGCAGCGCGGTAGACCGAGTGTTACAAGTGTTCCATTTTGGTGAACTTCCAGCCGCATCCAACGCTTATCAGTATTCGCTTCCATTAAAACATAATACTGCCCTGCCAGACATTGCAATTTGCCTTGGAACAAAATAATAATATTAATAATAATTATGTATAGTTACCGCCTTCATTAATGTCTTTCGCTTATTCTCTTTCATATTGTTTTTCTACGCTTTCATTTTACCGAAGGGATTAGTATTATTGAGGCAAATTTCGCCCATCTGAGATGAACTTTGAATAGAGATGCAGAGGAAGTCTGCTTCTCTACGCTCTGACTCCGTTCCTATTTCGGCGAAATGAGCTGCAGTGTGCCTTATGACATGCTCCTAAGTGTGAAGGGTCGCAATATTACGTCATTTATGATGTGTGGAACAGTTCTGGCTCCTCCACTATGCAGCATGTTTCGGGCGCCAGTAGGTGGACGCTGTCTGTACTTACGCGTTTTGCGGACTTTTGTCACGCTTATTTATTAGGCTGGTTTTGTGGTTACGGTAGTTTGCAGAGACCAGCGCATGATCCATGATTTTACGTGTACCGCTGTAAAAATCAATAGTGAGCTTTGTGTCAAGCTCCAGCATTTTTGAGGGAGCAATTATTGCATTGTGTGCAATTACGTATCATGTGACAGTGATTGTGACCTACCGTAACTTAAAATGTAATCATTTATTTCAGATAGTAGTAATATTGTTATGCGAGTTGTAAATATTCATTTTTCGCCACCCATTTTTTCTGAATATTTGACCAAAGTGCAATGACCCGACGTCTTTCAAATAAGGACCCCTGATGGTTCCATATTAACGGTGTCCGTTATGTTCTGTGATTATCACCTTATCACTTCTCTCCTGCAATCGATTATGATTATAAGTCTTTCATTTTATTCATAACTGCCACCCACAGTATGTGTTATCGATTTTACGCGCGTGCGCGCGTCTGCAAGTGTACGCCCGTGCCTTTACACACTGCAAATCGATCGATTGAGACTCATCATACATTACATGTGATTCTCCATATCTTACCATTCTTTCAGTCTACAAATGTTCTTTCAATATGATTATTCATTTTTACCAAATTTATGCCTACACAATTCCATTTCGTACGAGACACTTGGCCACAAAGCGTGTACATCAATTAGGAGGTAATCAATCACTTGTGCAATTTTCATGGCTTGTACGTATGCATGTCTTATCCGCCTCGCCTTCTCCTTATACGTCATAATGAACCAAATGTGATACATACATGTGTCTGTGTGCGTTGATATATGCCTGCTGTCTTTCTAGTTATTGCCTAATAAATATCGTACTGGTTTTCAATAATTACTAGTAGGTAGATTACGGTACACCTACCGTATCTATACAGGAGTAATTCAAGGTTTGCCTGTTGCGTTTAACAATCCTGTAACTTCATTTTTCATCTTTACCTTGACGTCGTTCAGAACCACAGTTCGAATGCATTATTATCGACAGTTCTTTTTTGGGAGTGCGCCACGAACACTCTTGTGTTGGATATCGCGGAAGCGGTTGAGTGGTCAGTTATTCCTTGGAGTGAGTCGGAACCAGGGTCAACTGCCGCGTTTGTACTTTTCCAAGAACTTCGCGATCCTTTTAGGGGAGTCTAAATGCCATCCCCTTCGCCATCAGTTTTATTGTTAGGCGGCTCCTCCAATGCAACCACCTACCCCTACCTTGATCACCACACTCGCCATCATAGCTGTTAAAAACAACACCCCAAGTCCGCCCACTTTTAAACGGCACAATGGTCGACCGGGAGGAGGGGGAGAGGAGGTAATTCGAGGTAGGTAGAGGTAATTAGTATAAGGAGCGACGAGTCCAGTTTTAACTATTTCACGCCTGCTTCGTGAAACTTTCGCCAAAATAGTCGAAAAACCAGTTTTAAACCCCTATTCTACCACCTCTTTCAACTACCAAAAATACCGCTCCCGTTTGCAATGTTTCCCAGAAGTAGCTAACCTCGCTCAGCCCCAAATGCAACTCCCCCCCACTCCAAAGTCACAGAAGACTCCTTTGTTCGAACAGTACGTACGACCAGACGGTTGACCCTGGTC